GTGGATGTGCGTGAGGGTCGGATCACAGAGATGCAGCGGTGTGGGAACTCGGAAGCGGGCAGGCTCGCCAAGGAGGGGGCTGAGCCATTCCGAATTGCTGCGGCAGACAGACAGCTGCTCACTGGTGATGCTGAGTTTGTGCGGCGTGTGGGTGTTTACTGCGCTAGCCAGCAGGCTGAGTGCAGAGATCTGTGTTCTAGCGATCACGTGGATCTGGAATGGCTAAGCTACGTCCTGCTCGACGCTATCCCTGGGTTGCCCCTTCCTGGGGCGTCAGGGCCCCCCTCGGCGGCGCCTGGTGGTCCAGGGGCTTCTGGGCGGGGAGACGGGCCTCAGGAGGCCCTTGGGAACCCTGCCAGCGAGCAGCTTCCTGAGTTCCACCCTCCCCCGTCCCCTGGAGCGTGGATCCAGAACGGGCACGCTCTTGAGCAGGGTGATGTTTATGAGGCGGATAGGAACACTTTTCATGATTCACTTCTGTGCTGCACCTCGTGTGGTGCTGTTTCCCACACCAGCACGAATAGAGGTAACGTTCGTTCGTTTTGTCGACCTTCGTCGACTTCAGGTCGCTCGTTTTATCTGGATAAATTTCGTGCTGATGTGTATCCTGGCCATCGGAATCCAAAGGGTTTCACGCTGGCGTACATTGGGGCCCCGACCCAAGGGGTTCGGCTGGAATGGATCTCCTTTTTTTTGCGGCCTGGAGCAGAGGCCTCCAGGGGCCCCCGAAACAATCTCGGGGTGCCCATCCATCGCGTCGCGAGGGGCCAGCAGCCGACCTTCAGAGAGGTTTGGAGCTGGTCGGCCTCACGCGCTCCGAGCTCGAGTTGCTCGGCGCGGAGCTCGAGGACAGGCGACCACGGGGCGAGGGCCTAGAGGAGGAGGACCCCGCCTTCCCCGTCTAGCCCGCCTGTCCCTCTTTGCATGTTGCTGTGAATTGGGTCACTCCCCTCGTGACCGTGCGCGTCCTCCTCCTCCTCCTCCTCCTCCTCCTCCTCCTCCTCCTCCTCCTCCTCCGATGATGATGGCGTCCGGGTGATGGCCGCGCACCCTCCGCGTACTGTTTTTTTTACACACAGGATTCCCGGGAAATCCCGGGAAACGACTCTCGCTGAGGCGCCGGCGTCATTTTTTCCCAAAATGCTGCTCTCGTTGAGGCGCCGGCCTCATTTCTGCTCCCGAATCGTTCCGAATCGTGCTCCCGCTGCAGCGTGGGCCTCATTTTCGGATCGGTGTTTGGCCTCCGTCGTTCAGGATGGCGTTCTCGCCCCAGCGCGGGCCTCTTTCTCGCGCGCCCATCCGCCCGCCACCACCGCGCCGCACCGCCACCACCACCACCACCACCACCACCACCACCACCACCACCACCACCACCACCAGCACCAGCATCACCACCATCACCAGCACCACCACCAAACCACGACACACAGCACACAGCACACCACATACACACCACCACCAACAACCACAACCACGCACACACGCACGCACGCACGCGCACCACCACCCACTACGCACACGCGCGCGGAGCCACAGGTCCGCTACGACACGCGTCCGCGGATAGAGAAAATCAGCGCCGTGGTAAGGGATGGGAGGGAGGGGTAGGATGTCAGATGTAGACGCGAGCGCACCTACCTTGTCCCCCTCCCCCTCCCCCTCCCTCCTCCCCCTTCCCGCCGCCCTCCTCCTCCCCTCCCTTTTTTCGCCTGCCCTTCGCGGGGCACCTCCTCGTGCGTGCTCTCCCCATCCCCCGCTCCTTGCCTGAGGGGCCGGCTTTCTATGCCGAGTCTTTTTTCACGATCCTGGAGCTCTTGAAGGCCAGCGAGTGATGAAAAGCCGCCGTGGAGATTTTTCTTGCGCCGCTGTCTAGGCCCCCCCAGAGGTATGTAGCTATTCTTCGGCCCATCCCGCCACCGTGCCGGGGTTGTAGGTCAGGAGGCCTCTGGGGTGCCTTTTGGGAACCTCCTGGGAAGCCTCTCGGAAGCCTCTGGGATTCGGCTTTGGGGTGTCTCGGGGGTCTCTCGGGGGTCCCTCTTTGGAGCGTCTTGGGGCCTGATTTGGGCCTCCTGGGGGACCTCTTGAGCCAGTGGAGAGGCTCTTGGGGTCCGGCTGGCGGTCTCGGGGGCCAGTGTGGGGCGAAGGGCTCGACGTGTCGGTTCGTGTGCCCCTCTTGGGCCTCTCTGGGGCCCCTCTTGGAGCTCTACTAGGCCGTCTTGGGGGTGGTCTTGGAGGCCTTTGGGCTGTCTGGGAGCGTCGAAAGCTTGAAAAGACGAGAACACTAAACTCCTTCAAAACACCATAGACAATCACTGATTCCCTACCTAGGCTCTGCCTAGAAGGGTTCTTACTCTCTGGGCTTAAGGGGGCCGGGCAGTGGCAAGCGCCCCGGGCGGTTCCCCCAGTAACCGCCCCGCGGTTCCCCAGTTACGTCCCCTTAGCCCCTTAGCTTAGCGTTGCTTATTTCATCTCAGCGTAGCCTAGTTTAGCTTAGCTTAGCTTAGCTTAGCTTAGCCTTAGTTTAGCTTAGCTCAGCTTAGCTTAGCTTAGCGCAGCGCAGCATTAGCATAGCACACCATACCATAGCATAGCCTCGCATACCATATCATATCATATCATATCATAACACAACACATCATAGCGCATCATAACATATCATAGCATGGTATAGCATATCATAGCTTAGCTTAGCATATCACAGCGCAGCATACCATTGCATAACACAGCATACCATACATCTTAGCATAGCACAGCATATCATAGCGCAGCACATCATAGCATATCATAACATAACGCATCATATCGTAACACATTATATCAACTTATAGCGCAGCACAGCATAGCATATCATAGCATATCATCGCATACCATAGCATAGCGCAGCACATCATATCACATCATCGCCTAGCACATCATAGCACAGCGCAGCATAGCACAGCACATTATAACATAGCGCAGCATAACACAGCATTTCATAACTTAGCATATCGTAACGCAGCATACCATAGCATACCATAGCGTATCATATCATAGCGCAGCCTAGCATACCCTAGCATCGCATAGCATCGCGCAGCATCGCGCAGCATAACGCAGCATATCATAGCATAACACATCATATCATATCATATCGTATCATACCATATCATAGCATAGCATAGCAATGATGATGACGGCGTTTACCGTTACTACTATTATTGCTCTCCTCGGGGCTCCAACTCCTAGGTAGGGTCGCTCTGGGATAAGTTTGGCATCTCGGGGTTCTCTAGGGGGATTCTTGGAACCCTTATTTGGCGTCTTGGGGCCATCTTGGGCGTCTTGGAGCACTGTCGGGCTGTCTTGGATGCCTCTTGAGCCCTACTGTGCACTTCTCGGGCCCTCTTGGCCCGTTGTAGGGGCCCTCGTGCCTCTGGAAGTCACGCGAGGAAGCCCGAGAGCGAGCAGAGGATTAGGGATTTTGGGCTCCCTGTTTCTGGTTAGAATGGTGCAGTACCGAAGGCAGAGTACAGTGGACTCGAGAAGCCCGGGGAACCCTCAACATCGAGCCTCGGGCACAGTGCGGATCTGGAAGCCCCAGGAGTCTCTGGAAGCCTCCAGCGGCCCACAAAGGGTCATACAGTTTCAGAAACATCCATCATCCTTCCCCTCGAACCTCGGGGAGAAGGAGGATGAGGAGGATCGGGCGGGACCAGGACCATAATGACTCGTCCCAGAGCGTTCCATAATGCTCTCAGAGAATTCCCTTGCGCTTTGGAACTGCCGCGGCGCCCGATTCATTTCCAGAACCGCCAGATCTCAGAGATTTTTGATGTATTTCGTCTTACGTACAGGAGGAGGAGGAGGAGGAGGAGGAGGAGGAAGGAGGAAGGAGAGGAGCAGGAGCAGGAGCAGGAGCAGAGCAGAGCAGGAGCTGGAGGAGAGGAGGAGGGATGAGGAGAGGAGGAGGAGGAGGAGGAGGAGGAGAGGAGGAGGGGGAGGGGGGAGGAGGAGGAGGAGGGGAGAGAGGAGAGGGAGAGGAGGAGGAGGAGGAAGGAGAGGAGGAGGAGGAGGAGGAGTGAGGAGGGAGGGAGGAGGGGAGGCAGGAGGAGGGAAGGAGGAGGAGGAGGAGAAGGAGAGGAGGAGGAGGAGGAGGAGGAGGAGGAGGAGAGGAGGTGAGACAGGGAGGGAGAGAGAGGATAGGAGGAGGAGGAGGAGGAGGAGGAGAGGAGGATGGGTAGGGAGGAAGAGGGAGTATGAGGAGCAGGGAGGAGGGGGGGGGGAGGGGGTAGGTTGGGGGGGGGAGGGGGGAGGAGGGGAGGAGGGGGAGGATTGAGGACTTCGCTGCATCTGAAGCATTCCGAATCGGCGAGAGCAAACAAACATACATATTGGAGACGCCACAGAATATCCAACAAGGCGAAGGAAGCAGGGATGAAGTATGGATGGAATAATTTCTCGATCGAGCCGGCATGTCCTGCTTCCATCCTTTGAATTGTTCATCTAGCAGTTTGCAGAAGCGAATGATGTTTTCCATTTTGTCGGCTCCATTGTCTAGTACATATAAATGCGTCATCAGAAACCAAATAACAGGCATGTGTCGCGTGAACACCTATCTCGATCTTATACTGGCCTGATTAAATGGCTTGCCTTGAAGTTGCCTGAATGTTTTTTTCCACTTCAAGCCATTTCGCATCGTGCAGCCAGGTCACA